ATTATGATATTTTTAAGGTCTTCTCTCCACACCCACCCGTTTAAGGTCTTCTGTCCTTAGGAGACCTGTTAAAGGTCTTCTGTCTACAGTCGAGTCTTCTGCCCATAAAAAAAGTAATTTTTTCCTAAAAAACCTGGTTATGATATTTTTAATTTCTGCTCTCCACAGAAAACTCGTTTGTCCTTAGGAGACCTGTTAAAGGTCTTCTGTTTTACAGTTGACCTTTTAAATGTCTTCTGTACATAAAATAACTGTTAAAGGTTCTCTGTCTATAGCAAATCTGTTAAAGGTCTCGTGGCTATAGAAGAACAGATAAAGGTCTTATGTCTATGGAAAACCTGTTAAAGGGGTTTCCTCCATAGAAAACCTCTAAGAGGTCTTCTGTCTATGGAAGTCCGGTTAAAAATCTTCTATCCATAGAAGACCTGTTGAAGTTCTTCTGCCCATAGAAGACCTGCTGTAGGATTTCTATCAATAGAATACCTGTTAAAGGTCTTCTGTCCAAAAAAGATGTGTACAAGATCTTCTGTCTATAGAAGACCTCTTAAAGGTCTTCTGTCCATAGAAGACCTCTTAAAGGTCTTTTGTCCATAAAAGATCTGTTAAAAGTTATCTTTGCCTAAAAGACCTGTTAATGACCTCTTAAAGGTCTGCTCTTCACAGAAACCCCATTTAAGGTCTTCTTTCCTTAGGAGACCTGTTAAAGGTCTTCTGTCCATAAAAGATCTGTTAAAAGTTATCTTTCCCTTAGCGACCTGATTAAGGTCTGCTCTCCACAGAAAACCCCGTATAGTCGACCTTTTAAATGTCTTCTTTCCAAAAAATAACTGTTAAAGGTTTTTTTTCCATAGAAGATCTGTTAAAGGTCTTCTGCCAATAAAAGACCTGTTGAAGGTCTTCTGTCTTCAGAAGATCTGTTAAAGTTCCTATGTCTCTAGAAGTCCTATTAAAGGTCTTCTGTCTATAGAAGCAACAGGAGACTTGTAGAATGTCTTGCTGGAGGTCGTGCAGACATCAAATCGTGATTGAAATATTTAAATATATTCTTCCTAGAAACACACAAATTATAAACATCAAAATTTATCCCTGGCCGATCTGATTTACATTTAAATTTTGAATTGAATTCTAACGTCATCGACGTATATCAGTTCCCATTTCAAAAACGTTCGAAATGCTGTTCACATTTTGCAATATTATTGCGTAGAATTTCAATAGATCAGATCAGATTTTTGTATTCAAGCATAACAACCAAAGAAATTTCTGATTTAATTTTCAAATCGAATTATATCACACTTTGTCTGTTAACCCCTCCCCCCTTCCCCTCTTCTAGAGAATCGAACGATCATGCAGTCATCACGTGATTGGTTTATTGACATTTCGAAAAATTCATGAATATTTAAGAAATCTATATAAATTATATAATACTACGACACTATGATACAAAAAGTATATTTCAAAAAAGAAAAAAAAAACCAACAACAACAACAAAAATTCTTGGAAGCCTTTTAAAATCTGAACTGAAGAGCGAACGATCTTGAAATAAAACGAGCGTTTAAACAAGTTTTAGTTTAGTTAATGCTGTTTTTGTTTTCATTGTTTGTCTCGGGGCAAAATATTTAAGTCTGGATTTGTTTTGCGTCGTTGAAGATTATCAAGTCTGGGTTGAGGGTTTGACTAAACTAACTGGCTGACTGATGGCCGATAGGTAGGTAGATAGCATGGTGATCCAATAATTATTTCATAAATGTAGGCGTTTTTTTGTTGGTTCTTTTCGTTTAGGCATATTTTGGTTCTAATGTAATCGTCTGATTAGATCAAAAGTTAAGCTCGAAGTGTCTGAGAACAAAACCGCAGGAAAAGTTCTTTGATCCCGCATTTGCTTTTAAAATGGAAAGCATTTTGGTAGCTGGAATAATTTTGCAAACTAATCGAAACGGATTTGTTTTTTGAATGAATGGCCCATAAATAACTTTAGCATAATTTCCAACATGCTTGAGCATTAAATAACATTGACCCGGTACCGCAGTGACCGATGACGTAATTTGAACCATAAATATAGGCTTGACATTTATTTTGGTCTTGTGGTTTTAATGGCCTCATGGATACCGGGCAGTGCAGAAATGCATACTGAAAACATTTGAAGGGATGTGTGTGGGTATCCAACTAAAAAAAAATATTATTATACCCTCCACTATAGTATGAAGGGTATATTAAGTTTGTCATTCCGTTTGTAACACCTCCAAATATACATTTTAGACCCCACAAAGTATATATATTCTTGATCAGCATAAGATTCCATGTCGGTTTATCAAATTCCGTCCGTCTGTCTGTCTGTGGAAATCACTCAAGCTTCCGAACGAAACGAAGTAGATTGATAAAATTTTACTCAAATGTGTATTATGTCTGGAGGACTTTTGGTATTGAAAATGGGCCATGTAGGTCCACGTCTTCGTATAGCCCCCATATAACGGTACCTCCCGATATTCGGTATTTTTGACAATTTTAACGACATTATTCAGCGGAATTGTTTCAAATTTGGTATTTGAAATTCGTAATAGATACTACGGCTTAAGACAGAAAATATGCCATTAAGGTCCACGTCTTCGTATAGCCCCCATACAACGGTACCTCCCGATATTCGGTATTTTGACGATTTTAGTGATATTATTCACCGGAATTGTTTCAAATTTGGTATTTGAAGTTCGTAATGGATACTACAGCCTATGACAAAAAATTGTCTGTGCGGGTCCACGTTTTCGTATAGCCCCCATATAACGGTACCTATATGCGGTATTTTGATGATTTTAGCGATATTATTCACCGGAAATGTTTCTAATTTGGTATTTGAAGTTCGTAATGGATACTACAGCCTAAGACAGAAAATTGTCTGTGCAGGTCCACGTCTTTCTGTAGCCCCCAAACAATGGTACCTCCCGATATTCGGTATTTTAATGATTCAGCATCATTATTCGCTGGAGTAGTATTTAGAGTTCATAATGGGAACTATAGTCTGTGACAGAAAATTGTCTATGCAGGTCCAGTGCCAGTTCCATATATCAGTACCTCCCTATATTCGGTATTTGACGATTTTAGGCACAATACTTACCTAAATTGTTTGGGATGTCGTAATTGAAGTTCGTAATGGATGCTACAGCCTGTGACAGGGCATTGTTTATGCAGGTCCAGGTCTTCGTATAGCTCCGATATATCGGTACCTCCCTATATTCAGTATTTTGATGATTTTAGCTACATTATAAATAGATTTTTTTCAAGTTTCGCATTTGAATATTATAATAGCTTATGACAAACAATGCTTATGTAGGTCCACGACGTATAGACCCCAATATTACGGCTATATTCGGTATTTTTAAGATTTTAACAGAATTTTTAACGGATTCTATTTTTTTGAAAATTTTCAAATTCGTTCCAAATGGTGAAGAGTTCCAAATGGCTCGGCCTGGCCGTAAAAGAATAGGACTGAACTCCTCAAATTTGATTTTGAAGTCCCTGTTGGTATCTTTGATTGGGATATATAGGAGATTTTGGAATGGGTATTAAAGTAGTACGAAGAGTACTAAATAGTACTTAATTTGATATCCGCTGAAGGAATAAAGCTGGAATCCCGAAATTTGATATTAAGGTCTCTGTTGGTACCAGGAATAGAGGAAATATGTACTGTAATTTTACAAAAATTACTGAGTGGTACTAAATTGGTTATTGGGTGAAGGGATAAGGCTAAAATCCTGAAATTTGATACGCATATCACTGTTGTTGTCTGGGGTTAAGGTATGGATATGGTTTTTGAAATGCGTACTACAACTGCAGGAAAAGTACTAAATAGTACTAAAATTGGTATTCCGTAAAGGCATAGAGCTGAAATTCAGAAATTTGATATTGAGGTCTTTTTTGTTATCTGGAATTGAACTAGAGCTGAAATCCTGAAATTTGATATTGTTGTTGGTATCTAGAATTTAGATATGGAGGTAGATTTGGAATTATGTACTATAATTGTACGAAAAATACTAAATTTGGTACTAGTTGAAGGAATAGAGCTGAAATACTGAAATTTAATATGGATGTATCTGTTAGTATCTGTGATTAAAATATGGAGGAAGTTTTGGAAATTTCTTCTATAATTGTACGAAAAGTGCTAAATAGTACTAAATTCGGTATTGGATGAGGGGATAGGGATGCAATCCTGAAATTGGATATTGAGGTCTTTCTTGGTATCTGGAATTGAGATATGGAAGCTAGTTTAGAAATGTGTACCATAATTGTACGAACATTACGAAATAGTACGAAATTTGCTATTGGGTGAATGGATTGAGCTGAAATCCTTAAATTTGATATTGATGTTTCTCTTGGTATATACGCTTGAGATATGGAGATGGTTGTGAAAATGTGTACAATAATTGTACGAAAAGTACTAAATAGTACTAAATTTGGTATTTGTTGAAGGAATATAGCTGGAATCCCGAAATTCTGTCAATATCTGGAATTGAGATATGGAGATGGGTTTGGAAATGTGTACTATATTAGTACGAAAAGTACTAGGTGTAATTCCAAAATTTTTATAGCTTTCACTGTAGGTGTCTTTAGTTCGGGGAAAGATCTGGTTTTTTTTTTTGATATGCGTATAATAATTGTATTATATGGTATTGGCAATGGGGAAAATTGGCGTGCTGAAATCCTGAAATTCAATGTTGCGGTTTCTGTTGGTATCTGGGTTTAAGAAATGGAGGTGGTTTTGGAAATGCGTCCTATATTAGTACGAAAAGTACTAGCTGGCACTAAATTGGTAATTGGGTGAAAGGATAGAACTGGAATTCCGAAATTTGATATAGATGCCACTATTGGTAGCTGTGATTGAGATGTGGAGCTGGTTTTAGAGATCCACGAAATGTAGGAAATATTTATGGTGGACTTTTCGCTGATGAAGTAGCGGCTACTTGCTAGGTTCATATATTTTTGTAAAGAAAAACAAAAACAAATTAGGTAAATATTTGCAAAAAATTTATTTAAAAATGAAAAACAAGAATTATTCTCAATATTCGGCTATAACAATAACATTTAAACAAAAAACTGCTAGTAAAAATTCTCTGAACTCTTCTAACAACATCTTGCTTAGGCAACTTGTTTGAAGGTTGGATGATAACCAAATTCATCGGCCACAAAAGAAATTTCGTATTTTTTGCCATCAGGAGCTGTCCAGCTGGTTGAGCCATGCATGACAATGGCCGAACCATCTTCGGTGGTTTTCAATTCGCCGGCTTCCTGGCGTGAAATGCCATTGCTGGTGTCGTAGCTGTAGCAAGGATAACGAATAAAATTATTATCCTTTAAAGGTATTTTAGATTTTGAAAACTTACGCAAAATTATATTTATCCACGCCGTTGTTGTCGACTTCCTGTCTCAAAATTTGGGCATCATGTTCATCGGCCTGTTGGGGAGCAGCCACGGCAACAGCAATCACACAGAACAACAAGACAATTGAGAATTTCATTTTGAATTGAAGATTTTTAAATTTTATTTAATTGAATCTTTTTTTGAAGATGTTGCTATTACAAGTCGTTTACACTTGACTGATACCGTACTCCACGACACCCTCTCAATTTATACCAAAAAACGAAAGTAATCTTAAAAAATAAATACTTTTTTTATTTTTGTTTATTTTTATTTTAGCTGGTAATATTAAATATGTCCTCGTATCATTAAAATCTTTACCTTTAATAAAAATTAATATCATTTTTTATAAAAAAAAAAAAAAACAAACACCAAGTAAACAACAACAAAGCCACGAGTACACATCTTCAATGATCGGCAAATTTATTACCAACCTCGCTGGGTACAATCAATGCAAGATAGCCGCAATCACCTTTAGTTGACATAAACGGCCAATGACTCCTCCCGTGTAATCCATTCAACCTGCATTGGATACAGTGTGTCATATATGTGAGTGTGTGTGTGAGAGTTGCGTATGTGGTGTTTGTTAAACTCTTTAAAAAATGTGTGTTATCTTCTTTTTTGCAATTAGCTAATTTTAATTAGAATTTAAGACACATATTGTCTTTTTTGTTGTACCCTACATTACGAGACTCCATTTTTGTGGCTTGCACTTGGGTATGGCATAAATGACAAGTAATTTTTCTTACGCGGAAGATTTTTAGGTCTCATAATCTTGAAAATGAAAAGAAAAGATTGAATCTCCCAACAAATACCATATTTAGGGTTGGTAAACATTAACTTTTTTCTGACATTATTGAAGAATTACAAACGGTAACCCTATTGGACTATGGAAGTAGAGCATAAATAGTACGCATATCCAAAACAATCTTTATTACTCCATACTAGACATCAAAAGGGACTCAAAATTAGTACCATTTAGAATTTTTGAAAAAAATATGGTACGAAAAACCACCAAAAGATACCAACAGAGGCCTCAATATCAAATTTCAGGATCAATTCCCTATCACTTCCCCCTATAGCAAATTTAGTACTATTTGGCACTTTTCGTACATTAATAGTACACATTTTCAAAACCACCTCCATATCTCACTCCCAGATACCAACAGGGATCTCAATATCGAATTTCGGGATTCCAGCTCTATCCCTTAACCCAAAACAAAATTTAGTACAATTTAGTACATTTCTCGCAAATATTGGACGCATTTCCATTGACACCAACAGAGACCTCAATATAAGATATCATGATTCCAGTCCTATTCCTTAAACCTATACTGAATTTAAAGTACACACTTCCAAAACCACTTCAGCTCTATCCCAATTTTGTACCATTTGGTACATTTCGTACCTTTTACATTATATGAAGCATTTCCAAAACCATCTCCATAGACACCAAGAGAAAACTCAATATTAAATTTCGGGATATTCCCCAATACTCAATAAAGTACAAATTAGTACTTTTCGTACAGTTATAGTACACAATTCCAAAACCACCTCCATATCTCACTCCCAGATACCAACTGGGACCTCAATATAAGATATCAGCATTCCAGTCCTATTCCTTCACCCAACACCGAATTTAGTACCATTTGGTACTTTTTGTACAAATATAAGACGCATTTCAGAAACCACCTCCATAGATACCAACAGAGAGCTCAATGTCAAATTTCTGGATATCCCTTTCCCCAATACCCAATAAAGTACAATTTAGTACTTTTCGTACAATTATAGTACACAATTCCAAAACCAGATACAAACAGAAACCGCAATATTAAATTTCAGGATTTCAGCTCAATCCCTTCACCCAAAGACCAAATTTCTAAGACCACTTTCATTGACACCAAAAGAGACCTCGATATAAGATATCGGCATTCCAGCTCTATCCCTTTACCCAATACCCAAGTTATTACCATTTAGTATTTTTAGCACAAATATAGAACGCAGTTCAAAAATCATCTCCATAGACACCAACAATATAGAATTTCGAGATTTCAGACCTATCCCTTCACCAAATATGATACTATTTAGTACTTTTCGAATAATTTAAGTACACACTTCTAAAACCATCTCTGCTCTATCTTTCCACCCAATACCAAATTTGGGACCATTTCGTACTGTTAGGACGCATTCCTAAAATCATCATAGAGACCTCAGTATCAAATTTCTGGATTCCAGGTATGTCCCTTTACCTAATACCCAATAAAGTACAATTTAGTACTTTTCATACAATTATAGAGCATATTTCCAAAACCCCCTCCATATTTTAATCTCAGATACCAACAGAGACCTAAACATCAAATTTAAGAATTCCAGCTCTATCCCTTCACCAAATACCAAATTTCAGACCATTTAGTACTTTTTGTACAAATATAGGACGCATTCCCAAAAAAAACATTTCCATAGATACCTCAATATCAAATTTCTGTATTTTGGGTACAAATGTAGGACACATTTCCAAAACTACCTCTACAGACACCAACAGAGATCTCAGTATCAATATTCTAGCCTTTTTTCTTTACTCAATACTTAATATAATACTATTTCGTACTTTCGTACAATTATAGCACACGCTTCCTAAACCACATTCATATCTCACTCCTAGAATCCATCATTGACCTCAATAACAAATTTCGGATTTTCCAACCCTATCCCCTTACCCAATACTAAATTTAGTGCTGTTTGATACTTTTCGTACAGTTATAATACACATTTCTAAAACCACCTCCATATCTCAACTACAGATACCAACAGAACCTCAATATCCAATTTGAGGATTCTAGCTCTATCCATTCAGTCAATACCAAATTTAGTACCATTTAGTACTTTTTGTGCAAATGTAGAACGCATATCCACAACCACCGCCAAATCTCAAACACAAATACCATCAGTGATCTAAATATCAAATTTCAAAATTTTATCTCTGTTCCTCCACCCAATACCAAATTTTGTACTATTGAGTACTATTGGAACTATTACAGTACACATTTCCAAAACCACCGCCAAATCTCAAACACAAACACCTACAGTGACCTTTATCTCAAATTTCAGGATTTCGCCTTTATTCTTTTACCCAAAAATATATTTCGTACCATTTAGAACTTTTAGTACAATTATGTTACACATTTTCGAAACCGCCTCCAGGTCACAAAGGACTTGCGGCTCATAATACTAAATTTCAAATTTCAATCACCATCTGTTCACCCAATACCAATTTGTACCAAATATAGTACTTTTAGTATTTTTCGTGCACTTGTGGTACGAATTTCCAAAAATCACCACTTAACATCAACTCCATTTTCGAAGAATTGATTTTCATTCCAAATGTAAAAATTGTACCACTATCCGTTCACATCCGTTCCAAATGATATCAAATATAGTACATTTTAGTACTTCTGGTGCACGTATTTTTGGAATTTCATCAAATACTCTTTCACTCCAAACTTTCAGATTTCCAACTTCATTCCTTCCCCCAGATACTAAAGTTAATACTATTTAGTACTCTTCGAACTTTTGTTGGTACATATTTCCAAATCCCCAATCCTAATAAATTTCAAGACTTCCAACTTAATGTCTTAATCAAGTATCAAATGTTGGTACCATGTAGTACTTTTTTGTACTCAGTTCCAAAACCACTTACAAATCTCAACCCTTCACACTAACAGTTTCCTAATGCCAAACCCTAGCCACCAAATTCGATCCCAATTCGGACATTTTGAATTTCCAGATCAATCCTACTATCCAAACTTAAATGATATACTAACTGTCAATATTCTACCTGTATCCGTTAACAAAACCCCGAAAGGCACGAAATTTAGTTCTTTTTAGTACTTTTAGTACACTTTGAGTCCGAATTTCCAAAAAACCTAGCCTTATCTCACCCCTTTCCACCAACATTGACCCACATGTGAAAAACTTCAAAATTCAAGCTTCAGCCGCTTTGCCCGCTTATACCCTAAGCAATATGGTTGCAGACGGTATATATATAATTTCATATGACCAAACGTGTCTCATCGAAATATCAACCTTAGACCCTAGGCCTCTTTGGACCAAATCCGTTTCAGAATATTTGGAGTCGATCTTGTGATGTCTGGTCGCCTGTCTGTCTGTCTGGTTGGTGCTCACGTTAACTCTCGAAAGGTGTATCATATTTGCTCCAAACTTGGTACATAGTAATATTATTGTAAATCATATATCGTGTTCGGATATGGACAAAATCGGTTCACTCCTTCTGGTACCTCCCCCATAAAAGGTCAAATTTTTGAAAGAACATAATTTACCTCATTGGAAGAAAAAAAATCATTCGAATTTCTGTAAATCCCAATATTTGCATTGTCAGGTGCGAAAATATACGATATCGGCCCACTCAATGTAGTACTTACCCCACAAATGGTTAACATTTGGAAAAATTATAAGTCTTATAAAATTGAAATTGAAAATTGAGTCGGATTGTCTTCAAATTTCAACTCAATATTTTCATTAACACAAGATCTGAGGTTAAGATGGGATATATCGATCCACTCCTTCTGGTAACTTCCCAAGAATTGGTCAACATTTTTAATTGCCATGAAGATCGTAGTACGCAAAATGAGCATCCTAATCTGTTCAAACTCGGCATATCGCAATATTTCTATTAGCACAAGATCTGTTGTGAAGAGGGGAGTGTTTGTTTGTTTGTAATTTATGGACTCGAAAACGGCTGAACAGATTTTCCTCAAAATTTCCAAGTAACATAGGCTATATACATTTTGAAATTCCACTTGGAACTTGAGATATAGCACCAGAAACGGAGGTACCTCCCAAAAATTAAGATTTTATATGCTCATATCTATTGATCGATTACAGATACAGTCTCCAAATTTGGAGTGCGTAACGGAATTCGAAACAAAAAAAAAAAAATTGCCAAATTATATTGAAATCGGTTCAGATTTGGATTTAGCTGTCATATATATTTTCGGCCGATTTTACATATTTATTTGATGCACAAAACACGATGCGTATGTCCGATTCTAATGAAATTCGGCAAGAGTGACTAAATTTGGTGCAAAAATAAATTTGAAAAATTATATTGAAATAGGTTGAGTTTTGGGTATAGCTCCTATATATATTTCGGCCGATTTCATATATGTTATGCTCCAA